AATTGAAGAAAAATAAGAGTATTTGGAAAAAATGAATGCTGAAGAATGAAAAATCTCAAAAATTGAGCAACACTTGACAGTTCCACTACCATTAGAAATTCTTCTTAAATAATACATTGCATGGGCTAAAAGGATTATAGGGGAAAAGCTAGTTCCTTTTCAGTTCTAGTGAGCCAGTCTATGGATAAATAATAGACTGAGCTTATATATCCTATTCAATATATGCTACAGGTAAAGCCTAAGTATGCAGGGACAGAATTGAGAGAGAAGTGATTTGAGGGAGATGATGGACAGAATCAAAGAAAGATATGCAGTTTGGAAATCAGAGATATTTTCCTTGGATAGTCCATTCTGAAAAGCTTTTGTACAAGCCACCAACACTCCTAGGGAAGATAAATAGTGCCTACACGGATACTTTAGGGATAACTGGATTGTCTTTAAAAAAAGAGAGGGGACCGGCAGGTTTCAGCAAACGTGACAAAATTAGCTTTCAGCTTCCTAAGAAGGTTTACAAAAAGAGAGATAAGGCAGAGTACGCTGTAGTTCTTCTGGTATTTTACAAGGAGCAACAGGCACTCACCACTTTACGATGGCTCTCTTGGCTGGACTTCCCAAGAAGGCTGCCTTTCTCAATGAGGCTAAGATGATAGATGCATGCCAGAGCCATCCGCCGTTCAGAAAGGAAATAATTCTTCTGCTCTTCTTGGAATGTTTGGCTGGATTTCCGCACAAGAGACTCAAAAAGGAGAGACAGGAGTTGGGATTATCTTTTTTCGCTTGGGGGAGGGAAGAAGAGGATGGTTGGTTGGTTGTTTTTTTTTTTCCTCCCCTCAAAGAGCCCTGACCTCCAGCAACATTTCCTGGTTTTATTCCTAGAATTTAGACAAGACAGAAATATTGCACAAAGCTACACATGAGCACATTTAGAGAGACCCAGTTCACATGTAAACGCTGTGTAAGGACATCTGGATGTAGAAGGAATGTGAGGAGCTCCATATTAAAAACAAAGCCATCTTAATTTACTGGGGAAAGGAAAACTATAAAGGAGAAATTCAAATGTACCAAGAATTGCAACTGAAGAAGAAACAAAATTAGATTTTCTTAACAGCATAGTCATTATCAATGCCATTTCAGCTACACTTTTAATGCACGCAGCATTATGTGCTACAGCCTTGGAAAATACCCTGTTGAGATGTTGACCTTATAAATTAATTAAAAAAGATATGAAGCTAAATTTCTGCCATGAATCCAGATTAAAATCTTTTTGTAAATAGAGTATCCTTGTATGCATTTCTGGACTTGAAATTCATTAAGATGGAGCTTAGAATATTTCGGGTAGACAATACATATTCAGGAAAATCTCAACGTTAAGTGTACCTTTCCAAACCTTCAGCTGATTTACGGGGAATTAAAAAACACAATGATTCCACAACTGTTTACACGATGAAAATTTTATACATGAGAAATGCCATGAAGTCCACTTGGAGTTCCTAGAATCATGTCATGGGGGATAAAAAAAATGAAAATAAAATGCATGCTACAGGATTGTAAGCTAGGTTTACACTAAAACACTATTCTGATCATATATCTGTTAATTTTAGAAAATTTCTGGTATTTCTAAAAACCTTTGAATGGAAAGATAGTTGTAAAGTAGGACAATTTCACAGGAGCCTTCAGGAAGCTTCACTCAGTCTCTTAGTAGGGATTCAAACTCTGGCTTGCTCTCCTGCCATATTTTCTGTCTCACTCTGGGACTTTTCACACAAGCAGGCTCTGCCTTTCCTTCCAAATATTTTTCTCTCAAAACACAAATCAACAGTCCCAATAAGAAGTATGCTTTCAGGTACAAGGCTGTAAATTTCATGTCAGGACTTCACTCCAGTTCACACTAAACATGTACTGACCTTTCTTTACTTTGTTTGAACCATAAGGGCTCTTTACAAAGGTTCTCACACAACTGGGAAACATCAAGCCAAATTCTCCCATCACTGTGTGTTCAATTAGGAACACTTGTCCGCAGCAGCCTGGCACCAGATTTCTGCTGGTTTTACAGAACAAGTCCTGTCCTCAGCATAATCAGAGTTCTAAGAAACAGAGCACTGTGTTTCCCAGTAGCAACAGGCAGGCTGAACCTGAAAGACAACAGACAGTAATTAAAGTATTTCAAATTCAGAATTATCTGTCAAGAACTGGGAAGAGATACCCTTAATAAAAAGTTATTCAGGGTATTTAAGTGGACTAAAAGATATGAAGCCAAGTTTATTTCTAATGATCAGTGAATTCTGCAAATTCCACTCCGCCCCAGGTACATCAGCCTTTCTGCAATTACTACTCTGAGTAGTTCAGATATTAAAGCTTCAAATAGAAAAATCTCGGTTGGTACTGAAACACAACATATTGAATTATTATATTTCTTTCAAAAGATGAATTCTCTTACCAGCTACAGTGCACACGTTTTTCCACAAGTTATATTTGACAGGTTTGGTCATCATATTGACCACGTTACTGAAGCTTAAAAACTCCGAAAGAAAAATACCAACTTGGTTTTATTTCCAAATGACAGTCAATTCGTAGCATGAGAGATGCACCATTTTTGGGAGAGATCACGATACGTAGGATCTTCAAAGGATGAAAGTCCAAGGGGAGATTAAGTGAGGTTTCCCCCATGGTCTAACATGATCTTGTTGAGCAGTATTTTATAGTATTTTATATTTTATTTTATATTTATATAGCTCTGAAAATACCATTTTCATTTAGTGCAACTCACGGTCTGCACGACAGACAGAAGTAACTAACAAACACTTTTTTAAAAGTGGCAAAGCAACTTATATGACAGTGTTACAGAGCAGTGACAGAACTTACCGTGAAGTTAAGAATTCCAGAACACAGGACATCAACCTGGAGAATCCCAACCCAAATCCACACAGGTCTATTCATATTTAGATTCCACTACCATCAGGTATTTGCGAAAAAGGGTCTACATTTAAATCTCAAAGTAAAATCAGGAATAAAGTTTTAAGCCAGTAAAGTAGTTGCTGGTGATCTTGGACTGCCTTCACATAGACTTACAACTTGGTTGTAATGCAAATTTAGAATTAACAGGCCTTAAGACAAGTACATATGGAACCCAACTGACTTTATTATTTCCTAGCATCCAGCCATTTTCACAATTCTTCCTTGTTAGCATAGACAAGGAAGCCTTTTTCAGGTTTGAGAACAACAAAATGAAATTCTAGAAAACTAATCTTGCTGGTGCACCAAATGAGAACAAGTCCATTGTGAGTGTTCTAAGTGTCCTGCCATCATTCCTCTTTATATTGATCTTCAGTGTAATCCCCACCAATGCTTACTATTTCCATACAAGGGTAGATTAATATAAAAGTGAAAGCTGTATGCATAAAAAAAAATTTAAAAATAATCAAAGCACATTTCAAAGTTTTTAGCGTTTCACAGAAATTACATAGACAATCAATAAATCAATGTTTGCTTCAGGATTTGATTGAGAAAAAAATTAGGTTTTCCTACCATTTACTTATCAATGTGCTGACCCACAAAAATCTTTGTAATAAGAAAGCAAGATAGTTGGCAAGATTATGCATTTGTTTGTTACTTTATCTGTACTGCAATGCAATCATCTCTTCTCTGAAGTCCTTGCAATTTATTATTCAAGTAACACCATAGACTAATGGTCTATGTTAACAGGAAAAAAGGTCTTCATACTAAACTGAAAAGGAAATGTAAAAAGAGCTATTGAGAAACTTCCTGAAACAGATAAAACATTGTTTTGGACAAGATAAGAGAGTATTTCACAACACAAGATTTGTAGTTGCATCAACAACAAAAAACCAAGCTTCCTTCAACTTGGTCTTAAGATTACATTGAAAACATGTATTTGTTGGGACTAAAAGTGTTTTATCATCGAGTTCCAGCTCAGACCATACAAATTTAAAACGTAGGTGGCCAGCAGTTTCCCCTCAGACCCTACATAGCACAGTCCACACGTGGTTTTGTTAGCCAGCCTTCCAACAGCAGATCGAGTTTTACAGGATTGAGGCTAAGGAGGCCAGAACTGGCATATGGAAAGCCACAACAAACCTAGCTTTTTTCTCAGCAGTTCCTCTCCTAAATGATACTGCCCTACCTGGGAATTAGGTATCAATGGATGCTCAGAGGAATCGAGAGGACTGACAGCTGTTTCTGCCCAGCTCTCCTTTTTAGTATTTACTTAATGCACAGGGTTATGTGGTCAAGCCATCTCCATAAAGAGCTCTTAGTAACGTTAACACTAGGCTTCCAACAGGAAGAATGATCATTTTCACTATGACTCAGAGAAAATGAGGCTAGTTGGGAATGCTGCATTCTGATCAGAGGGGTCTAATGCCATGACATTCTCAAGCACACCAAACATTTGTAATTCAAAAGCGGTATGTTTTCTGCCTAGCCAGAGAATTGTATTTCTTGTATTAACTAGTATCAGTTTGTAGCAGAAAACAGTTGTAGTAACTCAATTAAAAAAAAAGTTCAAGTAAGTCCCAGAAGTCAAACCATAGGTGTATTGCCCACTAATGCCCATGCTAAGGGGAATACATTCCTCTCAACAGAATGTATGTTCAAAAGAATAACAGTAATAACAGACTAAATAACACTAAACAGCAGCATGGGAAGTCATATCAAGACATGGTCCAAAAGACTACTTGTCTCAAACTGGAGAACTGAAAAAAAAAAAAGAGAGCCCAGTCCAGAACTCTTCTTTATAGCCTATCTGTTTAGGACATGAAGACAAACCATTTTTAGAATATAGCAAATTTAAGATGGTCTTTAAGGCACTGTTTGCAACATTTATGGAAAAGGACATGTGAAAACAGAATGTATTACAATATATTAATACAGCTGGGAAATTCTAATTGAATGTGAGATTACAAGAGATGTTATCTCCCTCTTTCCTCTTGTTTTGTAGGGCTTCTCATTCCATTTGACCTCGTGTTCCATCCCTGGAGGAATTACATCAAGACTGGATCCCCAATACTATGGTCTGGGTTGCAAGTGAAGGAGATGGTGATGGCATAGCGAGTGCCCCAGTGAACCTTTTCCACTCGATGAAGGTTCTCTGATCCAGAGGTGAAAAAGGAAACTCGGCCTGTAAAGACAAAGTATTTAATCAGTGACACGGAGTTCACCACTCCACTATCAGCTCTCTGCACAGTTTTGCAGTTGTCTCAGTCTGACTGTTCCCTAGCTACCTGAGAGCCCATAGGTCATCACAAAGACAAACTGTTATGAGCTTATGCTGCACTCTGACAGCTTTATGTACTGTTTAAAACATATGTTAATCCTTTGTGCTACAAAGCTGGAGACGTAATACCACTGTATCTCAGAGTTTATAAGAGGCAGGAGGAAGCCAAGAACATCTAATGCCAGTTCTTACTGCCTCAATTGAAAAAAAAAAAAAAGAAAACACACTCACACAATAAAAAAAAAGCAACTCTAGTGACTGTCAGCAAAGTGTATTGATTTCCTTCCTGCTCCCCTTCTAGTCTGGGCTCTAATTTTAGACTGAAGGAGGAGGAAGTACTACAAAGGTGGCAAAAAGTCTTCAGTGAAAAAATGCTCAGCAGGTTTACAAGCAGCTGTGGCAGCTTATCAGCTTTGTACCAAGTATTTGCTATAGCTTTTTGTGCACAGTCTGATCACTCACTGTTCAGCCCGGTTAGAACGTTATGTATCAATCATATACAAATTAATTTTCCTTAGAAAGAGCTGCTCCATCAATGTATTGGCTTGGAAATTGTTTTATAGGTGCAAGTGCTTACTCCTGTGCTACATCCTGTCCACGCTTTGACCACCACCCTGCCTTGGGGTTCTCCAGGCCTTAAGTGGCATCAAGGTGAAGCGCAGTTACTTTGATAATGACAGCAGAGGTGTATTAGCATCCCACTTGCTGCAAGAGCAGAAGGATCCCTCTGCACTTTCACATTATTGAACTGTTCTGAGAACACAAGAGTTTGATGTTTTGCGAGTGTCTCAGAAATGACGCAACTCTGTAGGACTGCTCAAGTTCTCCCGAGAAAGCTAGTAATACTCCTATGCACAGCAGTTTTATCCCAGCAACATGTTTTTCCTACTCAGGCTTTTTCCCCCACTGTTCAAATTAGATTAAAGTTTGTTAAGAAGCTTATCACAGGGAACTCCTACTGACAATCAAACTCTGCCTGGGACTCATTCACAATCAGGCAAAACGAAACAGACACCTACTTAAAATTTGCACAAGATAAACTAATCCAACCGTTACACAATCTCCACTGCAGAAATGGGCACCAGACAACACAGCTGGCTTTCTCTTCTAACTAGAAGTGATCCGAAAGATCCAGAAGTTATTTTGCTTGCACACTCCTAAGCAGCACACATGGGAGATTTGAACAAAACTCGACTGGCCTCATGGAGCTCGGTTCACCCACTAATCTCAGAAGTCTATTTGAGTAGCCTCTGTGTCCCTTGCACGTTCAGTTCACATTTAGTCTTTCATAGTTCACAGTCTGTCTCAACTGCCAAGAAGAAGTCATATACCCTTCTCTGCCTGTGGCTGCACATCAATAATTGGTAAAGCTATATCTGTATAAAAAAAATAATCAGATCCATTGGTATGCACAGCTCATTTACACCTTGGTGTCCTGCTCTTCTGGATGAAAGACTAAATGATGGCAGTGTACTCCTATCCTCTGAGTGTTGCAGTGAACCATGCTACTCCCCAAGGATTTCATACAAAGTCCTTTTGGCAGGATTTTTTTTCTTTTAAATCTTATTTCAACATCATTCAAGTAGTTTATTATCAGTCCCTCACCTATTCACCCAAAGCTTTGCCTTAAACTGGTTTTCAAGCATTTTTGTTTGATTTCTTATTAGAAGTAGTAGTATTTCAGAGTTAAACAACTTTCAGTGTATTGTTTAAGCCAGTTAAATTGGATTTTTTGGCTATACAGAATGTCTTCTAATTTCTTTCTTTAATAAATGTGTCTTCATATACATGGTATCTTACAGCTCCTTGTGCATCTGGTCTCATATCTGTTAACTGTTACCTCCTTGTCACTGAACAAACCTACAGTCAGTTTCCAAAGATAATCTTCCTGAGTGAGGAAAAAGTGAGGGTTTTTTTAAAACTTACTTCCTTCACAAATTTTTAAAGCAAAAGCACGTTCTCTCCATGCTACACTTTTTAATAGTACAAATGTTCGAAGAGGGTAAAGAATGTTAATTCCCATCCCATCTGACAAAACCTTCAAGGAATATATGGCAATATCATTATCTAGAGTCCTGGGGAAAGACACAAGATAAAATAAAGCCGTACCATTGGGGGATAGGATGACTTCTAGGAATTTCAAGCACACCAAGACTGGATCCTTCATAATCTTGTTTCAATACACAGTACATGGAAACCACTTGAAAAATTACATCACTACAAGAAAGCAAGCAGGTCAGGACTAGACAAGTTCCTTAAGGAAGTGTGGACCTACTCCTAGGTTAACCTGCTCTGGTTATATTTTGATCAATTTTGAGTTAAGATTTTAAACCCTAAAGTTTGAACCACATTAGCAAGTTAGTAGGATCATATGCAATATGGATCTGTTTTTAGCTGTGAGACTGTATTCAAAGCATTTTAAAGTGCACTTTTTTTTTTCAAGTGTTACTTGCTGCCACAACTAATGCAGCTTTGATAGGATTTTTCTCACTGTGACTGGTGAGGAAGACATACATAGGGCAGGTCCACTAAGCTCTCCAGACTATGAAATACTGAGAGCGAGTGCTGAGCTTCGTAAGAGATGACTGTTGTAATACAAATGCTAAAGAATGGCTGTGCAACCATTCATTGTGGATAAAAGTGCCTATGTACTTACAATTTCCTGATGAAACATTTCTGAGTGACAAAAGCTCAGGAGAAAGTGTATAAAATTCTAATCCCATTTCCTTTGTCCTTTTCTTTCATTATTTCACAATGGCCTCAAATGGGTCTTTTCATTTTCTTCTCCCCTCCTCTGACCTGCCTGCACAGATTTCTTTCCAACATGCTTTTCTATTCCACCAAAGAAATCTCGACTACTACCTCCTGGCACATAATTTCAGTTTGATATATGAACACTTACTGCTGAAGTGTAAGCTTTTTTGAGATCACAAGCTACTACTCAACACAATTTTATAATATATTATCTAACCAAAAAAGTATTTAATCCCTGGTCCTTAAGGGATGAACTTTTAGAGAGGAAAAAACAGCAGAGGGATCATCATCTATTTTGAGGTCCATGCTTCTAAGGTTTCAGAAAGAGGTCAGTATCTGAGCTACGTTCTGAAGGATGAAGATAGGAATAGAGGTGTCCTGAGGTTAGAAGTGATGTCAAGGGTAAAAAAAAAAAAATAAAGGATTTGGTTTTTTTTCCCACTGAGATAAATCTATAGTCTTAAAAGTATTTCATCCTGGTTGCGAACATTTGACTCATTTTTCCAGTCACTGTAAGATGCCAAAAACCCCATTGCTTCTTTAGTTTCATGATGCTTTGTCTAGTACCTCAACCTCAGGCAAGTTTCCTTAAGTGACAGGAACTGTGGGCTGCTCTCTCACATCTACTCTCTTCCATCTCCTCTTCACCTCCACTTTCCATTCCACAAGAAGTCAATCAGGCAAACACCACAGCAATTGGTGCAGCACTTGGACATACTGTCCCCAAATTAGCTAAAAATACTCACATTTCGTAGTCACTTCTATCCATGATCTTCCCTCTTTTCTGCCCACAAACACTTACAACTTCTTTATAACTGTTCCCAAATGACTTCAAGATTTCCATCAGGCTGTCTAGTGATAGGGGAGTGAGCTGTGCTCCAGCCTAGTTCCCATGGAAGAGTGCAACAATGGACTCTTCGGAAGGTCCTCCCACGCAAATACACTTCTGCTCACCTTTCTTATTAGAAGAGCAAAAAGACAAAATTGGAAAGATCTATAGTAACCTCAAGACCTGCAGGAGCCTGTTTCTAAATGATTAGCTCACCTGCATCTCTCTACAGGAACAGAAGTAATCAATCCTTGCCTTTGATCCCTATTTGACAACAATACCTGAATGTACAGCTTGTTTCCTCTTCTTTTCCATGTTTTCTCTACTTTCCAGTATTAAGTGCTAGAAAGTGTGTTTCAAGACAGAGTTTGCTACAATAAAAGCTTAGCTGATGAGCTTCTGTTCCTTGCAGACTGCAAAGTGTTATTGTGGTGCAGTCACCCCCCTTTCTAGATCACAGATATGCCTCCAGCTCTGGTTCTCTAAGAATAGTCCAGAGTTTCATCCACAGGTGCAGCTGTTTTCCAGTCCCTTCCTTCTGTAGCCCTTAAGCATCCACACAAGTTTTAAAAACTGAAGAGTAAGAAAAGGATAAATTGTATTGGGGATGAAAGAATTAATGTCATGGAAAACGCAGGTGCAAACTCATTTAAATACGCCACTCTCACGACAAGGACCTGCCAACAAGCCCAGTGCCACAGCACCCATCAAAACTGAGCCCGGTCTTCTGTGTCACTGAAACAAGTCAAATTCTTAAATGCTGTCAGGCTGAGAGAAGCTCGTGATGTGAACAACAGGAAAAGGTCCTGCTCCTCTTACAGGGAGCAAGACCTTAGCTGTATTAGAGGTAACCACCTCCTCTCCTGACGTTTTTGAGAATCAATTCTTGCACTGATGCACAGGAATCATTATTTATGAAGACATACAAGTGCCAGTCACAAGCTCCACCGCTATAAATTTTATGTGATCCTAATTTAGATGAAGCAACACTTATTTTGGGGAATAACACTTAACAAGCAGCAAAAGCAATGGATATTTCACTATGCAGCAATTATGTCCCATTTAATTACTCAAACGAAACCACTAGAGGAACACAGGTATTAAGTATGAGCTTTTGCTTTTCCCTGCTTTTGCCTTCCCAGGTTTTAATGACATTCATAATTGCCCCTTAGCAATGAATTCTTTTTAGACATACTCAGAAAATCTCACCACTGCAAGATGCAGCGTACAGGTAGAAAACAATTACACATTCAGCTTATATCACAGTAAAAACTGAAGTATTCTTATATACAAAGGAAACAATTTTCCATCACAACTATGC